TGCTACGGTGTCGTAAAACGCCAGCCAAAACGACTTTATCTATCAGACGCTAGTTTCGACGCCATTGGCGGCTTCTGTCCAGAAAAAAGGGTGTTTTGGCGATACGACTTGCCCTTGGACTTCGCAACCGAATTGAAACAAAAGGCCGCGCGTCGGGAGACCTGTAGCGTCACGATCAATCTACTCGAACTCGTGGGCATGGTAATGACCGCCTGGGTAATGCACAGCCTCGTAGGGGATCGCCCATCTTGAGCCTATAACAAACCGTTCCGATCTCCCTCTACCCAATACCTTCGTTTGTCCCTACTAGTCCGACAATCGATCGACGCGGTCGATTCCCGTTGTCGCAGGCTAACTTGCCCTAAAAAGGTACACTCAAGTATACTGGCCCCGATCGGTCCGTAAGTCAATAGAAATCAACGACAGATATTCTGCAGTCCTCCACTCCCTCTGCGCGCTGTGCGACGTAAGAACTGAGACTAGGAGTCACCATCACGGGCCGGAGAGAAAGAGGTGGTGCACACTTTTGGTTCAATCTTTGTAATTCACAATGTTGGTGTTGTTGTTGTTGTTATTGCTGTTGTTGTTGTTGTTGTTGTTGTTGTTGTTTGTTTGTTGTCTTCACATTAAAAACCATCCCGGTCTCTCTATCCAGTAAGTACCCCCTTCTGTCTCAATCTCTCCGTACTTATCCAGCACTTGACTCGGTCGATTTCCGTGGTCACAGGCTAACGTACCTAGAAAAGGTAGCCCAAAATAAAATGGACCCCAAGGGTTAGCAGAGCGATAAAATACAACAAGAAAACAAAAGAATCAGAACGTGCGCACCACCAGCCTGGGGGGTAGCCTTCCGGAAGGACCCCAAGGGTCAGCAGCTGTTGTTGTCTTCACAATAAACCGTATGTCAGTTGCTAAATGCCAAAATCTAGCAAAAGACTCTCAGCCCGTGGTCACGAAAGTGCTAGAGCCATCTGAGGATCTATCTAGAGAACACGCACACATATGACGAGACAAGGTATCCAAGAGCCCGAAGAGGTACATACACCTGAAAATCCCTGCAGCACCGTATGCGTGCCCAAAAACTGAACTGCACGTCCGTCCCACCGTTCGACTACAGCAGTAGCATCACCCCTCCCTGTCCCACTCTATACCAAAACGGAAGATTGCCGACTACAGCATAATGCTGTCTGAAGTGCTGTCTGTACAAAAACACCATGGTAGGCATGGAACAAGAAGCTGGCGGGGCACAAAGCTGCTGTCTGAAGTGCTGTCAGAATGTGTCTGCGGACGTACAGTGAAAAAGAACAACCAACCAAAGCCATGATTGCAATGGACAATCACCCGAACCTCTCCCGATCGTCTGTGTTAGGCACGCAGTGAAAATATCGACAATAGCTAAGAATCGTTCCACATTGAAGGGGTCTTCCACGATCAGGCACAAAACCAATGCACCCGGGTTAGCCACGCCATCTCTGACGGGTCTCTCTACAAAACCGGTGACGATGTCATCGCACAAAACCAACACGGACAGTCAGAAAAAAACGCTAAAAATTGATAACACAGATAGAAATGTTTGTCCGTGCGCCACGGGTCGATGTCGCCCGCATGCTCCGGTGCC